ACATTTCTGAACCACATGGCCCAGTACAGTCACAGCAACAACCCCACTGTTAGAAATATTTATGTTGAAAACCTCCTTGAGGACAAGATGGCAGGGAACAGATGTTCTCTAGTCCCTTACACGGACTCCAAGCATCCCCTGCCCCTTTGGCATGCACACAAGCTCCCCGTTAATCTGTTTTTATCCTAATGCTCAAAAACACAATGGTTTATGGTTTGTGGAAAAGAATTTCTTCCACTGTTCTGAAATCTGCAGTAAGAGCACCCACTAGACAGGTTCTGGAGGGAAATTCATTTGCAAATCTCCCCACACTCTGAGAAAGACTTCCAGCCAGTGTGACGGGCATGCTTGTAGTCCCAGTACTCTGGAGGCTGAGGCAGGGGAATCGCCCCAAACTTGAAGCTATCCTGGGCTACATAGTGAGTTCAAGGCCAGCCTGGACTACATAGTGGGATCCCATTTCACAGAAACAAAAAAGTGAAAAAGAATTCCTTCCTGTGTGAGTCCTGGAATTCACATAATGTAAAGAAAGGGTAGAGAATGCTTTTGTAGGTTTTTTTCTCCAAACTTGGGTAAATTTTTCCCTCTGGCATCTCTACTCTAAGGACAGTACCTCTGACAAAGGAAACAGAAACAATACAAATTTTGAGGAGTTCTGCTTTCTCTTTGCACCCACTAACCTGACAACACTGACCGCAAGCAGCAGATCCCCTTTTATCGCTTTGAAAAATGACTTTCTGAAGGCCCACATCACCCCCAGTTCCCGTGCAGATTTCACTTTCTCAGAAGCACCTTACACATTCATTCTCCAGTTGTACGATCCTGGTTGTACCTAGGCTCATCTGCCCTTATAGCCAAAGAAGCATGGGTGATAAGGAAACTTGTTTTGTTTTCAAAACAGGGTCTTAATATGTAGACCAGGCTGGCCTCAAACTCACATTGTCCTTCTTCCTCAGCCTCCTGAGTGCTGGGATTATAGATGTGGACCTGGCACTAGGGGGTTTCTTTTACTTATTTATTTATTTATTTACTTACTTTTGCCTTTTGGAGACAGGGCTTCACTTTGCAATTCAGACTGGCCTTGAACTCACTGTGTAGCCCAGGCAGACCTCAATCCTCCTGCCTCAGCTTCCATTCTCCTGCCTCAGCCTCCTGAGTGCTGGGATTACAGATGTGCACCACCATACCCGGTTTAGAAGGTTTCTTATAGCTCTTTTCCTTTCATCACTGACATGGGATCCCACAGGTAGAGGTAATGTTCTTATGAACTTACGAGTGCTAGAGTGTAGCTCACTGGTAGAGCACTTGCGTAGCATGACGTATGCTCTGGGTTTGATCCCTAGCACCTAAGAAAAAGAAAGGAAGAAAGGGAGGGAGGAGGGAAGGAGAGAGAGAGAGAAAAAAAAAAAAAAGCAAGCAAGCAAGCAAGCCGGGCATGGTGGCGCACGCCTGTAATCCCAGCACTTGGGAGGCTGAGGCAGGAGGATCATTGCAAGTTCAAGACCAGCCTGGACTACACGGTGTGCTCAAGGCCAGCCTGAACTGCATAGTGAGACCCTGTCTCAAAAACAAAATGAAACAAGAAAGAAAGAAGAGTTCCTAAACTCTTCAGCATCTTCCCAAGGTGTGACACTGTAGTGTTTTCTTTGAATTGTTAAAATCTAGTGAACAGATCTAACTGCTCTGCCTTTTCTCTCTGTCTCAAACTTGAAGAAGTCAGTTGCTTTCTCCCAAGCTTCCAGTCACTTCCACTCTGCCAACCAATTCCTCCTTTTGGCCAAATTTAGGTGCAAAGCACAGTTCCCCTTCTTACTTCCCCTGCTCTCCAGGAGATACAGAAGCTCATGCCTCCTGGGCCCTTGCCACATGGAAGGCACTATCGGAGAGTGGCTCAGGGCCTGTGGCTGCCAGCAGCAGAGACCAGCTGTGGCCACTCCAGCAAGAGATGCTGTCTGGGGAGGAGAGGGGGGTGCCAGAGCAGGCTGACGAGCCAGCTGAGCAACTGGGCACCACCCAGGGAGGTGGCCAGCTGTTGTCACAACCATGCTCACACCAGGCAAAAGCACAGGCAGGGGGGAAGGCCTGTGTCACAGTGACTGCTGATCACGGTCCCTAATACTGCTGCCGTGTGACATCAGAGGCGGTGCTTCCCCCTCTGAATCTGGTCAGCATGGTTCCTGGCACATGGTCAGATGGTGGAATCTGAATTAAGCAACCACACCCTAATGTCCAAGAGACACAACACACTGGTCAATGTAGTACATTGGTAGTCCATTATCAATATGTAGTAATTATCTCCTTGCCAAATACCTCCAACATTATGAATAAGGATAATTATGTTTTATTTATTTTTTATTTTTGAGACAGGCTCTCACTGTGTAGTTCAAGCGGGCCTTGAACTCACTATTTATTCTAGGCTGCCTTAAACTCATGGCAATCCTCCTGCCTCAGCCTTGTCAGTGCTGGGATGACAGGTGTGTGGCACCATGCTCAGCAGATAACTGTCTTAGTTAAGAAACCCATAGCTCCAAATCTTCAAAATATAATGTTTAAAAATATTGAAACAGATGGTAAAGATAGAGTTCAATCGCAGTGAAATATTTTTACCTGGAGAAGCTAAGTGTATATTTATGAAATACTCAAGAGCTACAAAGAGAAACTCTATACAACTTCCAAATAGTGAGGTCAATATACTACATCACTGTTCACTAGCTTTAAAGTATGGCTGGGTGCTCTGACATCCCTGCTGATATAAATTCTAATAGTTGGGAAACAAGATATTTTACAAAGAGGTATGTCTCAGATTATTGATGAGTATCCATGTAAGTACTAATCTGTTTCATTCTGGTTTTTAAAAATATTTTAAGCATTTCTCTTTCTTATTGTCAAGGCACTGAGTTGATGGAATTTAATTCTTTTCCCTGGCTTCATTTTTAGTTATTTTTATATGACAGTTTTATTGAGATATAATTCACATACCATATAATTCACACATTTAAGGTATATGGGGATTTTTTTTTTAGTAAATTTACAGACTGTAAGGAAAACCACAGTTTTAGAACACTTTTATCAGCTCTCTAGGAAACCTTATATCCATTAGCAGTCACACCTCATTTTTCCCAGCCCCTGAGACCTGGGTAACTACTAATCTTTTTGTCTTTCTATATTCGCCTATTCTGGATATTTTGTATACAAAGTAGAATCATATGTAATCTTTGCGACCAACTTCTTTCACTTAGCACAATGTTTTTAAAGTTTATCAATGTTTAGAGTTTCTCAGTACTTTATTCTTTCTTTCTTTCTTTCTTCTTTCTTTCTTTCTTTCTTTCTTTCTTTCTTTCTTTCTTTCTTTCTTTCTTTCAAGACAGGGTCATGTTGTGTAGTCCAGGCTGGCCTCAAGCTCACTATGTTGCCCAGCCTGGCCTTGAACTCCTGGTGATCCTCCTGCCTCAGCCTTCCCAGTACTAGGATTACATCACTCAGCACCACCACATCTGGCTAGTACTCCATTCTTTTTTATAGTCTAATACTATTTCATTGTAATGGATGTATTGTACAGCTGGCTGGTTGTATCTGAGGGCTCCACCTGTGTGGATTCAAACACCCATGGATAGAAAATATATACATATTCTTAAATTACATCTGTAGTGGGTGCAGATTGACCGGTGTCCTTGTCACTGTTCCCTAAACAATATAAGAACTATTTACAGAGCATTTATGTTGTATTAGGTATTTATTTTTCTTTTCTTTTCTTTTTTTTTTCAGTACCAGGAATCAAACTCAGGACCTTGCACTTGCCAGCCAGGCGCTTGTGCTGCTGAGCTATATCCCCAGCCCCTGTATTAGGTGTTTAAAGCAACTGAGAGATGATTTCAAGGACACAGCAGGATAGGTTATATGCAAATGTGATGTTTTTACATAAGGACTTGTGCACCTGGGGATGTGGGCATTAAAGAGGGTCCTGGAGCAAGTTCCCTGAGGATGCAAGGTACAGCTGCACTATATTTCACCATTGGGCAGTTGATGGATATTTAGGTTGTTTCCATTTTCTGGCTGTCATGAATGTGCTATAATGAACATCTATGCTATTTTTGTGTGAACTTGTTTTCATTTCTTCTGGTAAGCGTTCTAACTCCCCTCCTGTTTGCCAACATTTCTGCCCCCTCTTGACATTCTCACCCACTGCGTATAAAGGCCCCAGTTTCTCCACAACTTTGCGAAAAGTTGTTGTCTGACGTTTTGGTTCTAGCCATCTAAGTGGGTGAGAAGCAGTGTCTTGTGGTAGTTTTGATTTGTACTTGATAATGAATGATGTTAAGCATCTTTTCATGTGCTTAGCGGCCCCTGGCAGATCATGTGGAGAAATGTTCAGGGTCTTTACCCTCTTTTTTTTGAGACAGGGTCTCGATATGTAACCCAGGCTGTCCTTGAACTTACTATGTAGCCCAAGTTGGCCTGGAACTCCTGGTGATCCTCTTGCTTTGGCCTCCCCAGGGTTGGGACCACAGGTGTGAGCCACCACACTCAGCTTCTTTGCCTGTTTTTTTTGGGGGGGTCTTTTTGAGACAGGGTCTCACTATGCAGCTCAGGCTGGCCTTGAGCTCACTTTGTAGCCCAGGCTGGCCTCAAACTCACAATGATCCTCCTTCCTCAGCCTCCCAAGTGCTGGGATTACAGGCATGTGCCACCACGCCCAGTTGCCTATTTTTAAATTGGGTTACTTTTCTGTTATTGAGTTATTGAGTTGTGTGTGTGTGTGTGTGTGTGTGTGTGTGACACTAGAGATTGAACCCAGGGCCACATTAGGCAAGTGTTCTACCATTGAGCTACACTCCAGTCCTGAGTATTTTTATTTTATTTATTTATTTATTTATTGTCTTTTTGAGACAGGTCTCCCTATGCAGTTCAGGCTGGCCTTGAGCTCACTTTGTAGCCCAAACTGGTGAACCTGCAATGATCCTCCTGCCTCAGCTTCCTGAGTGCTGGGGTTACAGGTGGGCCCCACCATGCCCGGCCTGACTATTTTTATAAGGCTAACTTGTTTGCCGTGACACCAGCCTTCTTTGGAGCATTTGAGGGTCCCTGTGACCCTGAGGGACGGTCACATAGAACCAGCCTGGCAGTCAGGCATGCAGTAATGTCAGGAAGAACAACAAAAAAGCAGGTCTAAGAGCATGTGCTCCTGGGCTTTGGTGTATCTTTTCTTGCTCTTGTCTCTGCTATCACCCTGGTCATCAGAGCTCAGGTTATTATTGCTCTGGGTAGAGGCTGCAGGTTACCCAGTCACTCTCATGAATGAGGTGCTGTGCTTGGAGACAGCTTGCACTGTGATTCCCAGGAATCTACTTTGGGAAGAGTTAGTTAGGTGGGCATTTTCCCTAAGTAGAGAAGGTAGGTTGGACAGGTGGGCCTCATCACTACTTGGGGGCATCCAGGGAGGTAAAATCTTCAAGAGGAGGCGATCCCGTGGCCGCGAGGGCTGGAGCACTGGGTCTTGGAGCAGGACAGTCGCAGGTTGAGTGACATTGCATTGTTGGTGCCATGATCTCCGTAACCATGGTGAGAAGCCATGAAAAGGAGTCTCTCTGGAGTGTTAATGGGTGGAAATCCAGCCCTGGAGCAGAGATAAACTGATGATAGCAATTGGCTCTGAGAGGCCTGTATTCCTCCCGTAAACTGGTGTGAGAAGAAAAGATTACTCTTCCCTGCTTCCGCCCCCACCCAGTTTGTGGCTAAACTGCTCAACTGCCAATCAAGCCCATACTTCCCAGCATGCCTTGCAGCTCCCGCTCCCCAGTTGAGGGAGGCTTAGCCAGTGACCTCCCAGATCCAGGGCAAACGCCCTGCAGCCCTCGGCCCCACCTCCCTGAAAACCGCACCTGATGCAAAAGCCGGTCCGCCCCCCACCCCAGCGTCCTGTCGGCGGAGTGCCCAGGACGAGCTCCCCTCCGCCTTCCTTCCTCCCTCAGGTTCCCAGGGGCCCCTGCGGGCGCGCCTCCGTGGTCTCTTCCTTGACTTGTGGTGCCCCTGGGGATAGCTGGGTGTGCAACGTATTTGCGGCTTCAGACCCCTGCATCGTGCGTTGTACACCTTGCCCAACTGCCCAGGCCCCTCTGGTCTGTCACCAACACTTCCTCCTCTCACTCCCGAGCATTTCCTCCCTTCTCGGGAGCCCGCAGCTGACCCTGGCCTGTAGCCTCCCTGTTCCAGGAACCCACCATTTCTCTTTGCTTCCTTTGCGTCCCCGAGATCTTGGGGATGCGTTCCACCCCGCCAAGGCTGGGAGGCCAGGCTTTGCGAAGGCTAAACGCCGTTTTATAAACACTTAGTCCCCCAGCTATTCACCTCCCCCTGGCCAGCTCTGCCCGGGAAATTATGTTCACCTGGCACTTCCCATTTTACAGAAGACAGCTTTATACTGCGTGCAGGCGCTCCTTAATTGACTTTTTCCTTATCTCCTCCTCCTTTTCTCCTCTTCCTCCTTCCCTTCTTCCTCTTGTCCTTCTCTTCCTCCCCCTCTTCCCCATCACTCTCACCCTCTGCTTTTCTCTTCTTTTCTTTCTTTTGATGGGACAAGGATTTCATTATTTACCTGCTGCCCTGGCTCTCCTGGGTTTAAGCGATCCTCCTCCCTCAACCTCCCAGTGGCTGGGACAACACTGTTGGCTAAATGATCTCATTTCTTGGAAGTGTAGCCACCCCTCCCTGTTTACCTTCAGCACCCTCATTTGCTAACTGACCGATGTGTGTGCCCTGGGTCCTGACCCCGCCACGCTCCTGAAACTACTCTTCGCAAGACCATCCATGCTTCCATCCATCCATCCATCTCTCCTTTTCTCCATCCATCCGTCCATCCATCTGTCCATCCATCCTTCCATCTGTCCATCCATCAGTCCATGCAGTCTATAGCAGGTCTCTGATTGACTCAGTCATCAGCTCAGGGACACAGCACTGAATAAACAGATGAGGCTCCTTTCCTTGGGAGCTCACAATTTAGTAGGTGTGGTGGCGACAATTAGCAAGTAAATAATAAAATATCAAGCAGTGATAGAAGTAAAAATATGGTGAAGAAAAGATGAAGTAGAGCAAAGCAAGTGATGGATGTGGCTTTGGATGCATGGCCAGGGAGGGCCTGTGAGGACGTGACACTCGAGCAGGCCTGGTGGAGGCTAAGGGGAAGGTGGTGAGGACATTCCAGCCTGGAAGGAGCAAGCGGCAGGTGCCCCGAGACAGGAGCTTGCCTGGCCTGAGGGTGCGCAGGGACTTCATACTTTGAGTGGAGTGGGCAAGGAGGAAGGTGGTGGGGTACGAAATAAGAGGGGCACGAAAGGGATGTGGTCTTGAAGCCTTGAGACGATGGTAAAGACTCTGTGAGTTCATATCTGTGAGTCATGAAAAGGGACTTCTCAGGGACCAAAACATGACTTCCCAAGTCCTCAAGCTCTCCAGCTGCTCCAGAGCAAGTAACACTAACCTTCATTCAATTCAAAAATCTTGAGGTGTGTATGAGTTCAGGCCTATAATCCCAGCACTTGGGAGGCTGAGGCAGGAGGATCACCATGAGTTTAAGGCCAGACTGGGCTACATAGTAAGTTCAAGGCCAGCCTGAACTATCTAGCAAGACCCTATCTCAAAAA